AGTCATAGGACCTGCCTATCAAGCCCGGAATTATCCTTGTTGCAGATCTTTGAACACTCTTTATTGATATTTTGTCCTTTTCAAGTTTCGTTGACCACACTTCATTTCCAAACTCTATGTTCGGGTGCATGGCAGCAACATACAACTGCTTCATCGCTTCTGCATCTAGGAACTCGAAAGAGCGTCGATGAGTCCAAGTCGTTTATTGGCTTTACTAACCTGACCTTCAAAATGCTTAGAAAATTTCAACTCATTGTCGATGTTAACTCCTATGTCTTTTTCCATTGTCGACTTCGACATCATCACTCTGTCGTTGCAACCGTGTCTTCTCATACTGCAATCTTGCTGTTCATTATTCTTGCCAAGGTGGATTACTTTACATTTGTCAGCGTTAAAACGCAGCTGCCACTTATCAGCCCAGTCAACCAGCCTGTCAAGATCATTTTGTAACTGTACTTTTTGCGACGTATTCTTCACTGTATTATAAATTTTTGTGTCGTCAGCATACATCGAGCACACGTTAGACACAGCTTCTGGCAGATCGAATACAAACGCAACGAATAAAACAGGCCCGAGAACGCTTCCTTGTGGCACGCCGCTGCGCACTAAATCCCAGTCTGATACGGACCGGGTCGCCTGCCGAAGACCACCACTGCCCTGGATGTAATGGACCATCATGATTCCTGCCTTCCGGAACGTAGCCTTCAACACTTCAAGCCGTCCGTATCTACGCCGTGGGTCGAACCAGCCCACGGTCGAACGGCCAGTTGTCGAAGGACGAGAAATTTTGGAACAGAACTATGCCAACTGAAACCTAACCTCAGATGCGGTGAACGTAAAATTACGTAATTTAACGATGCCCGGAAGTCAGATTTGATCCGCGGCATGGTGGTGCACGGCAGGTTCTATGCGAGGCCGGAGGAAGACAAAGCCGAGTGGTTCACGGCTGATTGGTGGATGTCCGGAGAGATCCAAGGCGTTCGATTCTGGGCTTATTGGTGCACAAAATTGGTGGTGCACATCGATCCGCGGCCTGGTGGTGCACGGCAGGTTCTATGCGAGGCCGGAGGAGGACAAAGCCGAGTGGTTCACGGCTGATTGGTGGATGTCCGGAGAAATCCAAAGCGTTCGATTCAGGGCTTATTGGTGCACAAAATTGGTGGTACACGGCTGCGCTCCCATACGGACCCATTAATACTGACACGTTGTCGTCTCCCTAATAGAAAATCTCTGGTCCATTTGAGTACATTGCTGTCAGTTCTCAAAGACTGCAATTTCCGCAATAGCCGCTCATGTGGGACACTGTCAAATGCCTTGGCAGAATCAAGGTAAACTGCATTTACTATGCATGTTCTAGATTCTATGAACTGACGATGGAGCTGGACTCCGAAACGTTTTCTATAAAGATATGAATTTTTGTGGACTATTCTTTGCTTTTAAATTTTTAGTCAACTTGCGATTTAAGCAAATAAGTGACATTAATACTTTAGTAGTCAAATGATCTATCGATCGATCCCTCACAACAGATTCCATTACCTTGCAAACGACACTTGTCAAACTGACAGGGCGATAGTTGCCCGGACAGCTTTTATCACCTTTTTTGAATAATGGTGTCACTTGAGCTTCTTTCCAGTCAGTCGGCAAAATCCCTTCGTTCAAAGTTTTTCGACAAAATTATGTCAAAGAAAAAATGACGACAGTTGCTAACTCTTTGAGTAATCTGGGGTGGAAGCCGTTTGGTCCACATGACTTGTTTGGATTTACAAATTACAGCGATAAGGCGCTTGAGAACCTTTTCGTATTGTATTTCAAAACTTGGTAATTTAGAGCCGACTGGGCGCTCCTCAAGAGCTGGAATACTGTTCAAGTCCTCTTTAGTGAATACGCTACTGAAAAACTGATTATGAACGTTAACCATGCCTTCATCAGAGGATATCTTTCATTGATCTACTTTCAAATCAGAAATACCGTCCTTTTTCTTGCACTTCGAGCTAGCGTACAAAAAGGCTTTCGGGTTCTTTTTTGTATTTCTAGCAATTTTTTTTTCGAGGGTTTTTACTGCGGTGCGACAGCTTTCTTTAGCTTGATTTCTAGCTCTTACGTATAGGTTATATAGCATCGCTACGAGTCTGTAAATTACGCTGGTATGCTTCCTTCTTTGTTTTTAGCTTAGCTATAACTGTACTGTTCATCCACTGAGTTTTTTGGCTCCACCAAGCCTAATTTTAGGTACACACGCATCAACTGCAGACATAATCGTGTCCTTGAGAAATGACCATAACTCTGTCACATTCATGTCCTTAATACAGTTTGAAATATTCACTGCATTCACTGCTTCACGGAGTTTATCATAGTCGCTTTTCGCAAAATTCAAACGCTCACGCTTTCGAGGCGTCTTTTCTGTACAGCACTTTAGACTGAAAAACAATGATTGGTGATGGCTTTTGCATCTAGGAACTCGAAACTAAGCTCATCTAACATTGATTCATCACTAGTAAACACCTTGTCCAGAATATTGGGAGTCTGTTTACTTCTATAATGGGTTGGCTTAGTAACGTGCTGGACTAGGAAGGAGTCTCGCACAGACTCCATGAACAAGGATGCTGGGTGTTTCTCATCCCTTGGAGAGGATCCATCTGTCCAGTCTAGCTCTGGATGATGAAAATCAACAGCGAGCAACGTGTGTGACCTACGGAAAGCCATGCTCGGTAAAAGACTGTTTAGTACTTTATCGTTATCAGAGGAACTGTTTGGTGATCTATACACGACGCATATGAGGAGGCTATCTTTGCCTTTGAGAGAAAGTTCGCACCACACTGATTCTCTAGCTGATTGATGCTCTGCAGATAACTTAATTTGCTGGGCGCCATAAGAGGTTCTAACCCACAAAGCTATACCTCTACTGCACTGCTCTTCATTTAAGTTATGAAAACAATAAAAATCTGGCAACTGAAATTCAAAAGGTACAATTTTCCCCCCGTGATTTTTAAAGGGGTTTCTGTAATACAAATAATGTCAATGCACTCGTTTTCGATCACAGTTAACAGCTCACTTTTTTGTTCAAAACAGAATCCGAGTTCGTGTAAAGAAGACATTTTAAATCTTTTTGAGCACACTCACTTTGATGCATGCGTTTACTTCTTACATTATTTACAGGCCTGAATCTATGGCCATGACTTCTTACTTGTCTACCAGCTCCGCTGACTGACCGTGTGCGGCCGGTGTTATCTTGACATCGTGATAGCGCCGGCCGTTTTTTTGTGGGGATGAGCATGGCACCCCGAAGGCTTTGTTCCAGAAAGTTTTCCTCTTCAGCTTTAAATGGAAAGTGTATGCAGTTCTGGCAGTTCTCCATTGAGAAGAGTCCACCTACATGAATTTACACGTCATTTCGAGCAAATAAATTACAATTTAAATGCATGAAGACCATTCATTTCATGCCTTTTAATAGATACGCCAAATAATTGTGTGATAACAGTGTTCATTAATACATGAACTCTGTGTGAATCCCAATGTTTTCGTTTCGATCATTATTGGTTTTGAAGTTTACCCAGTCATAGTTTTTAGAAATGTTTAAATTTAGATAATCTATCCTCAATCGTAATGCAGCGAACTATTCGATGGACAAATCCCTAATGTCAAACTCATTCATAGAATAATCTCTCTCTCCCGTCGGCCCGAAAAAATGCGGGTTCTAAGAAACTTTCTGGCTTTCATTGGCTATTGGCATCATTGGATGATGCAACCACCCGTGCCAAGGAAGACAAAGTGACGCGCGTACAATCAAACACACGACGAAAGTTGACACTTTTGTTCACATCTTTGAGGCAGCTTGAGCCTATATTTGACCACCGACTTTTAACGCATCTGCAGAGTACACTGAATAATGGCCAAGCTCATCCCGTCTGAAGCATTGAGATCTCTTATGCGTTCATCAATTGTCAGCGCCCATACCATGACTAAGATTTCATTAGGTAGAACAGATATATTTTACACTAGCACCAAGACATATAACAACCGATGACATACATCCCTCTTCAAGGCGCTCGGGAAGGAGACAAATTGCGAAGATTACATTCCTTAATTGCTACACTACGTCAAACCCCAGTGAAGCTTCTTGCCTGTCGAAACGCCTATTTCCATTGTAATCTTTGTAATCTTTAATTCTGTTACGGTGGCACCATATAAGTATTTTCTCGGCAACGTCTCGAAGGGACCGAATTTTTCTGTACACCACAGACGACAGTAAGTCATAATGGCGCAATTTTCAGTTGAAAATATCGTACATGTGCGCCGAATGTAAGGCCTTCCTCGTTTGAATCGTTCTTGGAGGAAATTTGTTTGGAAAATTACTGAACTAGAAGAAAAATTCAAGAATCGGCAACAGGCCATGGGCATATTTCTTCAGTGCCGACACTTCTATTCTATTCTAAGCTGATCCCGAGCTCTCTTCATATAAGCTTGAGACCAAAAGAAATTAAAGTATCAAATTTTCTAAACTTTTATAGCCCATGAACCACATCAAAGTTTAATTTAATTACTTCGGACACTTATGCAGATTTAACAATTCAGATGTTAACCTTCCCTCTAGTCTAAACTATTGTTTTCAGCCAGCGTTTACTCCTGAAAGGAAGATTTGTGCAACCCCCAAAGTGGGTCACTCATCTAACGGTTACTTGTAGATCACTCACGAGTCCTACTCTATTTCAGAAGCACAACGGGACTCACATCTATTTCTGATCTCGTCATCACCATCGCCACTCCGAACTCCTGACCGAAATGTGTATTCTATCCGTTCAACCTAAGGACAGAAACCTAAAATGAACTTCACGTCGGTACAACAGACATTTGCAGTGAACGTCCTGACGAGAAATTGGTGTTGATGACAAATTTATGTAAGCGATATTAAATCGAAAATAATATGGGCTGTCTAATAAAATAATAGGTCGAATTTTTACTTCGTCTACTGGTGATAGCCTTCAATAATTTGAACACAATTGCTTAATTTACCATTTATTATTTCCTCAATACCATCCAATTTTTTCCCTCCATTATGTGCGAACGCTCTGACAAGAAATATTTGGTGATATGAATTAATGTATCATTTTTTTCTCCAGAAGTATGCTAAAATCCTTATATACTGGGATATATATGTCTCTATAGGTCATACTTCAAAAGGTGCGGGCTGTAATTTCTAGGAAACAATAAATTTTTCTAGGAAACAAGAAGACTCAAGCTCATCCTGGACTTCGTAAAGAAACACCCGGGGCTATTACAAGATCTCCGGAGTAACATGTTTTTCAACTATCAAATTACGTATCCTAATATTTTAAATATAATTATTAGAGGTTCGAGTTAAAATGATAAATCACATTCTATACAAGTAGCAAATGTAAAAATTTCTCTGTTTTGGAAAATACTCTCAATTTTTTCTCCATAATTTTTTTATGATCCAGCCCTGTTAAGTATAGCGTCAAAATTAGTTCTTCTATAGTTCTATATAGTTCTATTACAAAAAGCAATATTAAAAAATTCTTAACAGTGGAAAGTTGGGTTATTGAATTTTTTTTGTCAGATCTTCTATATATCACGAGAAGTGGATGTTTTTTTCGTTGACGATTTGTACGGGTGCGATCGATCCAATTTATTATACATTTTGATATAGTTAGAATTTTTGGAGTTTTACAGGTCTGCCCTAAATGCCAGACTCTTCAAATATAGAAAGGCAAAGTTTAATTTTAAGGGCTCTCCTGCCGAGATACTCCTGCACTGAGGTCGGTTTACAATATCATAACACTAATATTGTATCTATGTCTAATAACACTTAATTTTCTCATGATCTCATCTCTCTGGCTCCGAGCTTCTGCGATTCCCGCTACAAGTGAGTGCTTTGCCTGCCGCTGTAGCCGCAAGGTTTTCCGGATGGGCCCTTAATTCTTCAACCCAATCCGGCGATTCGATCCGTATATAGTTTTGATAGACAGGCTAAAATTTATAGGGTCGTTTTGTCGATCTTTGGTGTTTTTTTTAGATCTTTGGTTCTATTGTGTGGCTCTACTACTACTCTATCGACGATTGGGTCATTTATGCCAAGATAATATGCTAAGTAATTAATAAATGAATGCCTCCCTCATGGGTAAGACGGTGCCTCGAATAGGAGCTTCACATGTCGGACAAGAAGGCCTAGCTATGAAGCAGGTGTTGCAGAGGTGCAGGTGGTGGCAGGGCAGCACCATCACTGTGGCAGGGGAGCTGCCATCACAACTTCTGCAGGACAGGCGTCGGCGCCATTGCTGCACCGTGCGCCGCATTTCTTGCACTGCGCCAGTGAACATATTATATAGATTCATTATTTCGAGGAAAGTGGCAACATCCTGTACATTTTCTGAGCAAAAACCTGCCGTTGATATGAAATTTAGAAATTTAATTTAAATTTTAAAAAATTTAATTAATTTTTTTAGGTTTTTTAAATCCATAGCTTCACAAACAATAATAATATGACGCTTCATTTTATTTTATGACTTACCGTCTGATTCGTTTAACATAAATTAGAGAAAATTTTATCCACAAACTCGATTCATGCAGCTTGATGAATCAGGAACTGACCTCGTCCAGCAAGTTCCTTGACGTCGCTCTCAGTGACCGAGCTGCTGCTGCCCAGCGACCTGTGCTGTGGTCGCTCAAATCGATTTCGTTGCAAATTTCGTTCAAATTGGATCTGTCCACTGCGATCATCACGAAATTGACTGTCATAACTTGCTACTGATGAAGCTTCTACAGAATATGGCCTTTCAGTTTCCGGTAAATTCCATCCATATTTCGGATGTTGAAGGTATGTGGCGCCAGGTCTGCCGCTAAATTTAGGGTCACCCTGCACCATACTCAACGATCCTTGCTGCGATGGAGCGAAACCAACAGCCACCATTTTATGTGTATGAGCCGTTGAAAGGCCTGGCATCGCTTCGAGTGACGGAGTATGCCAGTTCTGCCGGCTGGTAGAACCTAATGGCATGGTCCATTGCTCAAATGGCGCTATTATTTTTATCGGCATCACATGCCTCTGGTCTGAGGTGCATGGACGATTGTCAAAAAAGAGCTGCTGTCCATTGATGCTGCCTGGGCGATTAGAATACGAGGGGTTTCTTTGATCGCGAGAAGAAGAAAGAATCTCCACTGAAGGCCTAAGAAAGTTCTCGCCCTGGCTCGCCGACGCGATCGAAGTCTCCGAGTCTATGGGCTCCCTGGTATGGCCAGACTGATGTGAATTGGTTCCAGAGAAATCATCTCGCCGGATACTGAACGCTGCACCTAAAGACTCCGCTCCTGAGCCTGGATATGTCCTCTCGCTCATCCGAGATTCAGGACGGTGAAGTTCCTCCGTGGATTTATCATCAACTTCCATCTGAGGGCGATAAGGATTTAAGAGGAGATCTACTTATGCGGTTTTATATCAGTATATAAATTATAATTTCGATATTGATATGCATAAACCAAACAAAATCTTTTTAATAGAATAAATATGAATTGCTAAGGTAGGATATTTCAAGGCCTGCTTAGAATTCGGATCTGGAATGCATAGACTTGACACAGTCAAAGTGAAGGATTCAAGGTCCTTAGATTTTAGAACGCATGATTTAAGGATCCCTCAATAAAATTTGAATTTAATATAATTGAACATGAGTTATGAGAAGCTTGGTTTCTTATTCTATCATTACCAAACATTCATTGACAAAAAATGTAATTTTGTTCAATATAGCGGTACAAAAACTACGCCTGCACGTCTGAAATAAGTTATTCTTTGGGCTTTGTTGCCATACTGAAAGAACATTTATCGGCTGCTTGTTAGCATACGGTGATATCATTTACCGGCTGCTTGTTAGCATACTGAGATATCATTTACCGGCTGCTTGTTAGCATACTGAGATATCATTTACCGGCTGCTTGTTAGCATACTGAGAGACAAGTTCCAGCGCTTCGGTCTCACTGAGCGGCAGGGCAGCTCGTTCTTCAACTATATGTGTGAACGCGCCTCTCACCAGGTCACGCTGCATTCCAAGCGCCAGGACTTTCTGAAACAAAACCTAAAACTTAGAAACATTCTCCGAAGTTTATGGTGGAAAAGTCAAATGCAATTTTAAATCTATTTTACTTCAAGGTTCGGCGTGTTGAGTTTGGACTTGCATAATTCAGAGAAAATCGAACTTATACTCACTCCATTTTATCACTCAGACATAAATGACGCAGAATTTCTCAATGCTGAAATTTGAAGCAGGAAGAAGATGTTATTGCCATAATTTTACACATTACTTTCAGCCCAATGTCTGATGGTAATAACCAGGAGATTCATCCATATCAAAGAATATTTTTTCAATACAAATATTTTATTATCACTTCAAAGTTAGACAGGTTGATATTTTTAACTTTTTAAAGTTTCCTATTTTGTTAAATTAAGTTTCGGTAGCGTCAACAGAAAGAAATTAAAAAAGAAGTTATACTGCAGCTCTGTAGAATTTTATTTTTATCGCGTTTGATTTTCAACAAATGAAAATTTAGCTTAAAAATGTACAAGTATTGTTAGGATTATAGATAAATTTAATGAATATTCAGAATTTAATGATTATTTAAATCATTATTAATTAAATAACAATGGCTATAATTTTGAAAAAATCAGTGTACATACTGTATAATTGAATTTTAATTGTAATGCCTCAAAATAAAAATACCCAATCTTACTCACCCTTCCTATCAATTCTGAGGTAAACGCTCATAATTTTATTATCCTGCTCCATGCAAAGTTTCCCGCTTTATTTTATACCTTAGCTAACGGTGCCTCCATGAGGACGAGTATCTCCTGCTGACTGAGTTTAGGACTTCGTCTGGGGATGTGAGGCGCTGGCTGCAGGAGCTGAGGGCGCCACATGTCAGGGTGGAGGGCGAGGTGCGGGCAGAAGGAGTAGCAGAGCGCGTGTTGTGTCCACGGATCGTCTGATGGCGTCCAGTTGAATATCCCTCCTCCGCAGTGGAAGCACACCACAAAATCTGACACTCCTGGTCGGCAGAAGGAATCATTTATGTATTCATATATAAATACTATATCACTAGAATTTATTACTTCTTTCAAACCTTACATTCAAGTTAGTAATTAATAATTGTGAGTCATTTTTGGCTAGTGATAAATTTATATAATATTCAATGTAATCAATCTTACTGCACCGTCTGGTATGTTCTTGCTCGAGATCAAGACCTCGACTAATGAAGTATTAAATTTTTTTGTTAGGTTTCTGGCCCAGGCAGAATCTGGATTTATTCGTAAAATACGTAGTCGTGATCGAACCAGTGTTTAAGATCTAGTTTATTTTCAATGAAGGCTCTTGTGCTATAAAATTTCTCAAGACAAGCTATGTATTGTAGTCCTTATATCACAAGGTAAATGAAGACTGAAAACGTCTTGCTGAAAAGTTCTTAACACTCGAACAGCTTCCCTGTTCAATCGTACAGCGTGAATGAAGTTCCTACCAAGTTCCACATCTTGAATTGTTGCAGATTCTATCATGAACAAAAACGCATGACACACCATTTCGTCCGTCATCATTGGACTATATTTGGGTCTTAAACCAAAGAAAAATAATACAACATTGTGTGCAACTCTTTTTTGTACATTTATACAACATTGTGTGCAACACTTGTATCGTATCTCACCGGTATAGAAGAACCCCGCTTCAGACATAACTTTGTGGTCTGGAAGTACGCCTTTTCGGGCGCTGTTGAAGGAGTCAAGACGGGTTTTGGAAGTTGCATATTGTGGAAGTCTCATGGAACCATGTCTTTCATCTTCTGTTGGGAAACAAACTTTCAGTCGTGTGGGTAAAGTAACAAATTTAGGAAGCCCGGTACATAGTGAATGCCGGAGATTCTTGTCAAATTCTCTTTATAATACTGCTGTTCTGAAGAAGATTAATGCGATTCAAATCATGAAACTATATTTTGCGCAATATATTATAGCGAGCGAAGAACTGTTAGGCTTAATACAAAACAGCAAACAAATGGAACTTTTATTCCAGAGATGACTGGTCCAAAGCTTGAGGAAGCAGACGTATTCACAAAATATCAAGGATTGAACTAAGTCCCAAAAATAACGCTTGGTAGCGGTTCCGATACAGGTTATCGACGATATGCCGACGAATAAACCCGGCCCAACATAACTGTAGAAGCAGGAAGTATTTAAATTATACAATTCTGCATTACAGCAATCTTATTCCAATGTCGCAATTAGTTTCAATTAAACACATTCACAGAAGCAAAGTTTTACACGTTTTACACACCATGACATACTGACGGCTCATCGTATCGTAAACTGTATCGCTGAAAGTCACCGAAGAATAGAACGAAGGTTGTTTCCCATCGGATACGCAGTTATTCGATTGAATGAAAGGAATATTAGATAGTTGGTAATCAAATCATAAAATCCATGAGCATAAATGTAAGACGCATTGTGTCACTATAACAGCCTCGAACCCACCCTAAAATCTTTAGCCACCAAGAGATTAAGCTGTAACTTTAAGAGGCTTGTTAAGAGGCCATATAAAGGGAAATTATGATAGTAGAAAGGGAGGACAGACTCCAATAATTAACTAGCAAGTTGAGCTTAAGAAAGCGCCAAGTTTTCCCAAAAGGTAAGGAACAAATATTTATTTTAGTGAAAAGCCGAAGCTCAAAAGTCAAGGTGGTCATGCCACAAGTAAAGGCAAAGCCCAAATTCAACACTGGAGTCGGGCCTTTCCTAATCAAAGAAAGTACGAACATCACTCAAACTTTATAAATACAGAAATTAGGAAGGAATGGCTTTATGCACTCCTACGGAGCAAAATTAAACGGATGTTTCCATCTACAAGTCTTTCAGCCAACCTCTGCTTTTTACAAACCCATACCAGCAATAGGTGTGGAGAAAAAGAAATTTAGTACCTAAGGAATGTGGAGATTTCTGACAGAACATTGATCCAAGCTATTCTTGCTGAAGAACGTTCTAAATCTGATAAATTATTATATAGCAGGAAATTCTGGAATGGAATGCAAGTACGTTTTCTGTCAAATCTTAATGGCGTTCGTGTCCAAGGGAATTAAACGTTATTTCTCTGCGATAATGGGTGCTTGCTGAAGGCCAGCTTTCCTGAACTTCACTCCTTGGTTCATATTTCTTGATGTGGGCCGTCATGTTAGAGAATATTTTATCTTATTTAATATTTTTTTTCTAATGGAATACACTACAGCTCCCTAACCGACGCTCGATATGACGCCAGCATCATTATCGTTGTCTTATTCAGAGACGCCAAGCCTTTGCTGGAGGCAATTGAAACCTACATGTCTTCCCAAATTTAGTTTGGCGGCTTTAGTGGATGCCACTAGGTTTATGAATCAATAAGTGTTCATTATCCACACCATATAACTCTGCAAAATATTACACTCGCCTGTGTGTCACGTGCATTTGAACTTATAAAAATGTAATGCAAGTAAAAAACGACCGAAAAGCTCGAGACCGTAACTATTGAACGGACTGGCGCCCGGAATGTCGCGATTAAAATCTTAGACATATTCCTCACTTGGCAGACGCTTCGTCTCCAATATTCGCAAAGTTAATTTATCTGTTCTAATCCAGCTCAATACTCAATTGTTGAAGACTTAATGAGCAGTAGTGTCGCGAGATGGCAAGCAATCAAGATTGAAACCTCGGGTTCGGTCAGTATAAATTTTTAATATTATAGTTATCCCTTATTATAATTACATCCACGTACCTCGGGTTCGGTCCGTATCAATTTTTAATGTAATAGTTATCCCTTATTGTAATTACATCCACGTACCTCGGGTTCGGTCAGTATCGATTTTTGATATAATAGTTATCCCTTATTATAAATACATCCACGTACCTCGGGTTCGGTCAGTATAAATTTTTAATATAAGAGTTATCCCTTATTATAATTACATCCAAGTACTTCGGGTTCGAGATTGAAACCTCATGTTCGATCAGTATCAATTTTTAATATAATAGTTATCCCTCATTACAACTATTATCCCTCACATTATACATTATCCCTCATTATAATTAAATCCACGAACCTAGTGTTCAGTCGGTATCAATTTTTGAAATAATAGTTATCTCTTACTATAATAACATCCACGTACCTCGGGTTCGGTCAGTGTAAATTTTTCATATAATAGTTATCTCTTACTATAATAACATCCACGAACCTAGGGTTCGGTCAGTATCAATTTTTAATATAATAGTTATCCCCTATTATATTACATCCACGTACCTCGGGTTCGGTCAGTATCAATTTTTGATATTATAGTTATCCCTTATTGTAATTACATCCACGTACCTCGGGTTCGGTCAGAATCAATTTTTGATATAATAGTTATCCCTTATTATAATTACATCCACGTACCTCGAGTTCGGTCAGTATCAATTTTTGATATTATAGTTATCCCTCATTGTAATTACATCCACGTACCTCGGATTCGGTCAGTATCAATTTTTAATATAATAGTTATCCCTTATTATAAATACATCCACGTACCTCGGGTTCAATCAGTATCAATTTTTAATATAATAATCGGTCAGTCAACCTGGGGAATGGCGGCTTGTGGTAGTGGAGCTTGAACGTCAGGAACTCGTTCATGAGGACGCTCAATGGAGACGAATCCATCGCAATGTTGCCTGAGAATATAATTTCCATTACATGAAAGTAAATATTTCAAACTTATAGAAGCTAAAAGTACGCGTACCGGGTACCGAAATCATCGATGGTACCTGTGCCTAGGTATATAGCTGAGAAATAATACAAGGAAGATACGCATCAAATTTCATGGATGATATATTATTAGTTCTATAAACATGGAGGCACCTTGATCATGAAAGATTCTGAATAGGTTCCGTCATTTTTTACAGAGATCGAACAAATATATACTCCCGGATAAAAGTCTCGGCATAATAATATCATATATATTAATAACATAAACCTGTGGCATCAGGACAGGCGAGGAAAAGACACTTGGGGAAATGTCGGCGGTGTTCCTCAAGAGGCAAATCAGCGTCGTTCCAAATACCAACAACTCCTCGGCAGAAGAAACACTGCACGTAATCTGAAATGCATCAATTCTTTACTGCTTTGCCATATGATTAGACGAAGTCATCCACTTATTTACTTGATCCTGTTTGAAGATATTTCTTAAATTATAAATAACTTTAGACCATTTGATGTTATTTCTGCAGATGGGCTCAGTTTTTCTTTCTTGAATTGTTTCTATCTGAAATCGAGTAGATCCAACTTTTCCCCCGTGATCGTTTCTTTTATTTGGTCTCTTTATTTTAGAATATACCGTTCTAAAATCAATGTAGCCAGCAAGTTTCGAAAAAATTGTACAAAAAAATTCATTGGAGTTAAGCAAATTTCGCGAAAATTATTCTGTAAATATGTTTTATACTTAGAATCAAGTCAGGCCAAACAATGATAGTAAACCTTGGTAATGGAGATAGTAGAAGCCGGCTTGTGCGAAGCTCTCGATTTTCATGGACGTTTTCGGCCAGCCTCTGAAGGTCTTCAGTCGAACTGCTTCTTGCTGAAGACATTTGAGTGAATGGAACTTCTCCATCCTAAAGTAGGTTTTATTAAAACTTTTTAAACTATTTTGGACACTGCAACGTCAGAAAATTGCCATGTGTAACACTGAATTCAGGAAGAGTAATATAAAAAGTTAATGCATTAATTAAAAGTGATAGTGAAATGAAAATAAGTAAGTAATCTAACCAGTTGTACAGTTACTTCCAAATTGTCGTATATTCATTTCATAAAATTGGAAAATTTACATTTTTGACTATTTGACCATTTTTAGGTTTCTGAAGTAGCTTTGGAAGCGCCAATTTCGTTAGAGAATTCCTAAATGATATAAAGCTGAACACATTCATCTTTCACCTGAATAATTTTCTATTGACCGATTCACTCGTATGTTTTCACTTGATTTTTTGTATGGACCCTACATGCAAACGAACCCACAATTTTTCTTGTTCTTCAATGCCCGACAAATAGTGCGTTTATGCGTGCCCACTAGGATTGGCCTGGGGCTTTCAGTTTCTTCACAAAGAACAAAGCTCGCTGCTATTTGCTAGCAGCGAGCTCGAAAATCTAAAGCTTAAAGAAGAAACCCTGTATGTCTCATGAGGAAGCTGCGTGAAGTCCGGGAGAACGATGATTACTGCGACAACCAGCATAAGACGATGAGAACTACTATACAAATAGTTTATTTGTGTTCAATATTCAAAACTGATGATATAATTAATATATTTTTAAGACGGGTAAAAATTTCATTGGGAACATCAAATGCAAATATGAGCTAAATAGGTTGCTTATTTTAAATAATGACCAGTTTTCTTGTCGACGAGCGTACGTTTGAGATGAGACCGCGAAGACCATGCAGCTAATTCTGTACGGAACAAACATATGATACGAGTAGAGGAGGCCAAAAACACCTGGTGGTTTTGTGGCTACACTTGAAAATAATTGTTACAGACAGAACACCACCATCTTCAAGAGTGAACTGTACAGGGTGTCCCAAAAAAACGATACTCAATTTTGAATGGCTGTAACTCGAAAAGTAATAGAGTTAAAAAAATTTGGAAGGTCAGGATTTGTTTCCTATGTTTTTCTGCATCTCGCCACCAAAAATCAGACAGATCGATGTAGCCAGAAGCGTTTCATTGAACTTTCAGTGACATGTGCTAAAATCGTGCTTGCGCAAAGTTTTAGTAAGATCATTTTGCTTAATCATTACCTTGTCTTGACATGTTTTCTTTTCGCTGTTTTATTTTTTTGTATCTTTGGTGAGACAAAAAATGGCAATCTTTGGTGAGAGACAATCATGACAATCTTTATGAGAGATAATAATGGCAATCTTTGGAGAGACTTAATCATGGCAATCTTTGGTGAGACACAATCATGGCAATCTTTGGTTAGACTCAATCATGACAATCTTTGGTGAGACACAATCATGGTAATCTTTGGCGAGACAAAACATGGCAATCTTTGGTGAGAGACAATCATGACAATCTTTGTGAGAGGCAATCATGGCAATCTTTGGTGAGACACAATCATGGCAATCTTTGGTGTGACACAAAGGTGATTTAAAGGAAAGGTGATTTAAGTATGTAGAAGGTGATTTAAGTTTGTAGAAAGGTGATTTAAGTAAGGTTGAGATAACGATGTTAGCTAGATAATTAAAATTAGACGCGTCAATTCATCGGCGTTACAACGAAATTAATCGGTTGTTTGTCATATTTTAAAAGCTTTCATACCCTGGATATGTTGACAACGATAAAGATTTGCTGCAGTTCCTTATTTTAAGCGAATATGATCCTACCGTTAGTCATGCACGGAATTAAATGCACACAAGTAATCTCAACCATTTCCTCTTGATAATTTAACATGATTTTCAAAGATGCAATTACTTTAGACTGTTCAGTCTGCATAAAATTAAGTAAGTAAGTGTATTTTATTGCGGATATTTTGGGTAGCAGGAAATTAAGATGAAATCTATATAATAGGTCGAACTCATTTTCGCAGGCTTGTAAGTAGTAGTCACTAGGCTGAATTTTCACCAGACACTGCCGAGCGATCGTTCTGCACGGTGCTATAGTGGCGGGCTGAAACTGATATCTTTGTTATCAGTGCTTCTTATCAATATCCCTCGTTAGCGATGACACAAGTAAAGAGAACGAATAATTTAGTTCAGGAAATGCACTGCACCATTCTCGATTTATCGTTAGCAAAAATGGGATAGAACTTTATTCTGTGGCTTATTTTTGTTGTTACACCAATTTTTTTACGATAGGAGTCATCAAAAATTCGCAGGAATTATCGAACAGCAACGAAAAAAAATAATAAATGAGTTGGGGAAATAAATTATCCATGGAAATAAATTTCTCCATATTGAGAGAATTCATTCTAAGCAATCAGCAATTTACTGAATAAATAGAGAAATACCTGCATTAAATATACTAATTTATTCTCATCTTTTTTAATAGTTAAAAAAAATCGTTTTACATATATGGGTATTTTCATGCTACCCATCATTTATTGCATGGCTATTATATTAGCCTCATGAATTATTCGCACACAAAACTGTTCTAAGAATAACCCAATAGAAGCTCACACTGATTACTTGATGCAGAAAGTTTATAAGAATATAACAAGAAATGGCCTGTTAAGCATAAGCGGTAACCTATGGTGGGAAATTGATGGCTGAGAATTCTTAGAATAGTTATCGAGAAAATTGCCGCACGTTAAGGCAAGAGTCAAGCAGAATAAAATACGTTTATTATTTGACCGATATTTCTGAAACTTCATTCACGCATGTATAACACTGAAACAAGCACATTTTGGCTATTTGTATTTTTCGAAAAAATTAATGAGAACGTGAAATGTAGAAAACGTAAAATGGAGGCTTTCTAAAAATTTCGAACTCGTAGGTGCATTACAAAAATTTTATAAAATAGTAATATATGCACAATACAAAGTCCAATAGGCTTATAATAAATATAGCAATATATTAATTTTTATTAATATATTAATAAAAAATAGCAATAGCTATTTTTTATTACGTTTTTACTGGTTTGGAGCTAGAGTCTTTCCATTTTACCACCACAACTACTTGATTTATATTATTAAAAAATTTGGTATCATTTGAAAATGGGCTTCTGGAGTTGACAGATATTTGTGTTACAAAAATAATGAAATATCTCTGCGCGCTGTGGCTCACAAACTGAAGGAGATAAAAATATTATTAGCTTAAAATTAATATTTTCTAGTAGAGTTAAAAAACAAACAGATTCAAAGAGAAGACAATGTTAGTTATTAGTTGGCTTGTTGCTGTCTCACCGGTTTTCAGATTGCTGGTCTACTACGCGCACACATTCTCATATATCGTTAGGTACGCATACACATTCGTTTTGCTGCAGTAGCAGCGCCTTGTTCACCGCTACGAAACGAACTCAGAAATGCTTATTTTTTTATTTATATAGCGGAAACCATTGGGACGGACTTTTTTCGCTGATTTCGCGTCTCTGAATAAGACCTCGAGGAGCGGCCTGAAACTTCCACAGGAACGCTGGGTCATTAAGGAAGCTGTTGTGTGCTCCGTAGGTCAACCTCTGAATATATTCATTATTGTGTGTCGTAAGATTTAGTTAGTTGTCTGTTTTTTAATCGAAAGCTACGTTTGAAAAGATTGTATTGTTAAAGAAAGAATAGCGATAATTGTGTTGTCATTATTGATATTTTTGATGAAAGAGACACTTTTCTTGTATCAGCGGAAGCGCTGCCGTGAAAGAAAAATTTAATTCTCATATTAGCTCTGGAGCACGAACTTAGCATGCAATAACTTCGATTAGCCTCAGATATAGAATGATAATATTATTAGTTCCACATGATAATATAGTTAAATCCAGAGAAATAATTAATGCCGTCATCCAATCCCTACGTCGCCATTTTCACTATTTCAATTCTACTCTGAGTAAGCTGACGCAATCGGTTTAAGGGGCTAAAAAATTACGAAGGGTAAATTGTGAAGAAATGATATGAGGAAGCTCGTGTATATGCCGGTTTTTCCGCTAAAATCAAAGTCTGGTATATAATTTACATGATAGATTCGTTTGGTAGAAGTCAATTGGTTTAAATATATTATTTAATGAGAAAAGCGGAGGAGTTGACTTGCTCCCCTGCAGTTTACATGCAATTATCAAGAAATTTGAGAGAATTTGATTATTACACGAAGAGCTTTGGGCATAAACTTCAAAGCTCGCAGTAAAGTGCGTCTGGAGAGTCGAACATACAGTCATGCGGCTTCTCCTTTGTCTCCTAAGTCGTCTTCGCTTATTTGATGCGGTTGAAAGGATTTTTCCGATATTTGTCTTGTCATTTACACGCGACTGATAATCGACAACCTGCGTCAACTTATACAAAAACTTCCATGTTACCGGTAATTATTTTCTGAATTCGAATAAATTATTTTAATTCATGTATTAAACTCTTGTACCGTCACTGACTGTTTTCTTTTGTGTTAATCTTGATGTCATGGTATGCACACTGGGACCTTCCCTCGCATATTTTTTAACCATGTATAAAATATATACTTGGTAATAGTAAAATCAAATTAACAAATGAACTCGTATATTGCGCATGACACCTCAATCGTTTGAATACATTATAGATCTATTTAAAGCGCAAATGAAATCTTACTGTCAGTATAACTGGTGACAAGATGTAATCGAACAAATCTTACCATGACATTTATGGCAAAATTTTCGGGATGATTTGAATGATTTTTCCATCTTGGCTCACGCCTACGACACAGATGAATCATTCAGGAAACTTCAATAAGAAAACTACTTTCCTTATAGAGATGCAGTGAAAAAATATTCTCGTCACTCCATAAAAATAACTATTTTGATGGCTCCCACAGGCATGAAGACTTTTTTTTATAGATTTTGTTTCATCGACTACCATAATACATCAGGATTTGATTTATAATCTGATGAAAGATTGATCGAAAATTTGATAAAAGATTGATTAGATCCACCTTAATACTTCAGGATTTGAAGAGGAGTATTATGAAGAATTAAGCTTAAAAGTAACCGACATATACACTTGAGAAGGTACGGGTTTATTTATATATAAAAAAAAACAGAAATCCAAAAGGCAAAAATGAAATCCATAATGACATTGAGTAAAAATTGGCCGTCTTATTAATGAGTAAGCTTCTGTTTATATTGTTGTTTTAAAATACGGTCGATTTCTTTAAATATGCTTCATGACCGTTCCCACTATCAACTGCCAAATGAATATTTCCAGCTTTTTAATTTGAAATTTCTTTTGTACCCGGGTGAACACTTAGGTGTACTGCAAAATCATATAATTGGTAAATGATTTGCTCGAAAATCTTTTACCAATACTCGAAAAGACCGAAAAACTTCGCCCAATTTTCGTACGTTCTTGAATTATGAGTACGTATAATCATCCTTTGCAAGATATATGATTGGATCAGCAATTTTTTCAACTTAATTTCGTGCCCTAATTAGAAACAACGGTTCACATCTGATGTTTTGGACGTTAATGGAATTGATCCTCCATGTTTATGATAAATTATAAATAGAAATTAAGCCTCGCCGTCTGACTTGTTCAGTTTAAGCATCATAATTTAAAATTACCGTAAATGAAAATAATAACTGGAGAAAGCTATAGCCCTAAGAATGGATAAATTAAATGCAGTATAAATACACTCACCTAAATTGAGGACGTCTTTTGATGCATAAAAAAGCAACATAATATGAATGGCCGAATTACTGACACTGCATGGGTCATGTATGGAGCAAACGAAGTATGGACGAAACTGAATATATAAAACAATTGATCTGTTTTATATCTATATTTACCTACAAGCACAGATAAAGTTAATCTTATAAGGTTAATAAAATCAAAAAGAGGCTCGTATGTTTCTTTTAGAAGAAAAATGATAAAGGTGCAAGAGTATTTTTAATTTCCAATGTGGAGACTTAAATTTACTAAAAATTTTTGCTAACCTGAAAATATCACGTTACAAATGCAAAGTAAAAAACGATCTGTTGTGATAGCTGCTATTATACTGACTATTTTATATTGGATGTTCACATATGTGTTATTTATCAACCACGAAGCTGATGAAACATACGCTGGTGTGTCCATCAATAGTACATATATGGACAATGAGCGATCGCCTCCCCTCGTCCTCATGATCTGTAACGGTAAGATAACATGTTGGTTACTTTGCTCAGCCGAGCAATACGTACAAACATACTAAGTCATTTGACATTAGACAGTCTTTTTTGACAGTTGCGAAATAATCGCCACTGTCTAACTTGTTATCTTGTTCTTTCTGTTATTCGCATGGAAACTTTTGACGACATTCGTATAATGATGCGTTAATTTTCCTTATGTTACCCTAACGAAAAGGAATTTTTCTTGCAGAAAAAACCGGGTTTATAAAGTTTTTGAGCAGCAAAACAAAATAATAACTTATTTTCATTCGATTAGGTTGAAGATATTCATTAGAACACTTGAATTTTTTATCATATATGACTTGAAAACAATTTACGGTAAAATAGAATAATATCAGATGTTGTTACACGCAAATGTTTGAATAAAATATAATTTTATATTAATTCTTTATTAATCCTTATTTATCAGGTTTCTTTTTCAAACATCGTAAGTACATATTTCATATGAGAAAAATGATTGTTAGCTCGCTGTTTTCTAATTTAAAATTAACTGATTCTGAAATTTTCACAGACGGTAACCGCATCCCAGAAAAAGAGACAGCGATGACCAAATTTGAGACTCAACTTCGCCAAACAAAAGTTCTCATCAAATCAGCGATGAGGCTGAGTCATTCCCCGATCAGGTAATTGGAATTACAGCTCATTATCTTCTGAATCAGACGCGTATTGGCGTACACCGTGCACCACTGTAGCGGCCCGACTTTCTGACTGTCGTTCTCGCTCTTCTTCTTTCATTCCGGCGCATTAAATGAAGCTGAAATTGAACATGAGCCTTGGTTGGCTCACTCTCCATTGAGGCGCCTGCTTGGATGGGCGTGGCAGGACGCAGTAATTGTCGGTTGCCTGGCAAAGAAATACCTTGGATCTACCTCCGATGCTGCTGTCAACCATTTACTTATAACCAAGTTATTGTATTTTGGTTACTTCTTTCGTCGGCAACGGATGGGTGCGGCTGCAGGTAAGCGGAGTTAGAGGACCAGTCTCGGAGACAGTACCGCTTCCGGGGCTGTACGTCGCATGGACTTGTCGTTTATTTGAACATCTGTCTTCCCACTCGGTGAACAGTGTAGAAGGAAGCTGCAACTTCTTGGCAACATTGGGTAAGAGTCCCGGCGTAATCTTGGCAAGCACTGCACTCTTCCTCTAGATTCCCACACTTTGAATTGCTTAGATTGACCTAGTCAATCTCCGATAAACTGTGACTTCCTCTCGGCGAGAACACTGGTGACGTACATAAAGAAATTGCTGAGACAGAAGGAATAATCATGCTTGCCTTAACCGAATCACACCTAAGAGAGGATATCCAAAATGAAGAAATCGAAATGAAAGGCTTTCAACTTTACCGATCAGACCGAAAAGAAGGGAGGAAAAAAGGAGTCGTTATAGTCTACCTCAAAAACTCCATCGCGGCAAAAACAGTTCCCTGTATTTAGGCTTCAATGGATATGTGGAACATGTTATACTCAACATCTCCCATCTCCAACTGTGCATAGCTATCGTATACTAACCGCCTGACTGCCCGCCCTAAAAATTAAACGAAACTCTTGAGAGAATTGAAACAGAAGTGGCCAACTTGGGTGAACCTTCCCAAACATTATGGTTGCGGGAGATTTTAACCTACCACTCATACGATGGCCACACGTGGACAGTGTAGGAAGGCGCAGCTAGAGATCAGGACGGAACCCAGGCAACACAACTACTTCGATTCGCTAGGGAGCACTTGCTAAGTCAACAGGTGCTGGTACCAACAAGAGAACACAATATCCTGGATCTATTCTTCACCAGCAATGAAGAATTGGTAGCTGATATTCGGGTTGAGGAGAACTCACTTTCAGACCATCGTCTAGTAGTGGACGAAACAACAATTGGGATTAGAAACCAGCCCAGACCTACATCTGGAGAGGGCCAGGATGGGCTAAATTTTTATCATCGAAGAACAGACTGGGAGGCCATTGAAAACGAACTCCTCGACGTCAAATGGAGATCAGAGTTCCTGGAGTTAAATGCCGGATCAATGTACAACAATCTGTGCGAAATATTACCGCAGGTATGCACGCACCATGCACACGCCGAGAAGAACGACCCCCAAACGGCACAAGGGACAGACGGATCCTCATGAGAAAACGAGCGAGCTTGAATAACCAGATAACGGCTGCCTCCAGGAATATGGAGTGGCGGAGGCTGGAACATCTAAAGGAGAAAATGGAGGACACTGAACGACAGTTGCAAGACTCGCACGAGGCTGAACAAGTTGCGGAGGCGCGAGCGGTTGCTGCCATTCGGGAGAATCCCAAATACTTCTACAAATATGCCAGTCAAAGGCCAAAACCAGAGCTTCAGTATGCCATTGAAAAATAATGATGTCCTTATTGGAGACGACTATAAGAAATTTTTTCCATATTGATGTTGTAGCGACTAGAGAGATCAAGTATATAGGTTAGGGAAGTTGAAGTTAGAGGAACAAAAGGAGAGACTAGAGAAGAAGTTGGTGGCATTGAATACTATGGTGACGTCCTCGTCTTAATGATATAGCTTTTCTGCTAACACTATTGAAATGCGCATGTGAAGGGCCCTTATTTAATACTTAATGCATGTTAAATTCACCTCTTGGTCCGGCCCAACACTTAATAGCTTTTCGACGCATTTATTGATTTGCTTCAACTCAGGCCGCAAGGCTCTTATCAGCTACGCGAACCACTTAGTTATTTCACCTGCCACGGTGTGAATATTCGGTTCACTGTATTAACATTATATATTCTAAGTGCGTCTACCGGCTTTTACTAACTTCTATCTTCTTGAGGTTGGGCCGACCTAACTTATTACCTTTAACGTCACTAATAGGCCATTAAGCCACTTCTGAATACCGCCTACGGCAATATTTTAGAAGGTGTGTATTAGCGCCAATTATCATTGAGATACCTTAAAATCTGCGCATATTGCTCATACTTTCTATTGTCTCTTGATATAGATTCTAATTGCCTTGGTTCTATCACTTTCAGTATAATTAAGTTCCTGTCTTACTGTGGATGCAACAGCTGCCTACCCGTCTAGTTGTGACTGGCTCCTCGTCCTATTTAGATATTATCCAGTGCCTGTTGTCGGTTAGGTTTCGAGGTACGATTTGGGGATATTGCCATGCTCAATTATTGCCGTTCAAATTGGAGATATTGAATATAATTGTTCACTTGCGAATAATCGGCTCAAAGAGAAGAACGACCCCCAAACGGCACAAGGGACAGACGGATCCTCATGAGAAAACGAGCGAGCTTGAATAACCAGATAACGGCTGCCTCCAGGAATATGGAGAGGCGGAGGCTGGAACATCTAAAGAAGAAAATGGAGGACACTGAACGACAGTTGCAAGACTCGCACGAGGCTGCACAAGTTGCGGAGGCGCGAGCGGTTGCTGCCATTCGGGAGAATCCCAAATATTCTAAAAATATGCCAGTCAAAGGCCAAAATCAGAGCTTCTGAGGGGCCGTTGAAAAATAATGATGTCCTTATTGGAGACGATTAGGGCATGTGCGAACTTCTAGTGGCGCAGTTTGAAGAAGTATTCAGCAAACCCCGATATTCAAGACAGGAGAACGAAATTGGAGTCATTCAAGACTTACCAGGAGGTTGGACGCTGATGAACATTGAGTTCAAAGCACCGGATCTAGAGAGGAGTATCCAAGAATTATCGCCTTATTCGGCTCCCGGGCCAGATGGGGTCCCTGCTGTATTGCTGAAAAAATGTGCCAGTGCACTGAAGGTCCCTCTGTCTTTACTCTGGAAAAATCATTGAGAGAAGGAAACGTTCCAAGTTACTTAAAATTGAGGCTAATAACCCCAATCTACAAAGGAGGTGCGAGAGATAAACCCCTAAACTACAGGCCGGTTACATTAACATCACACGTAATCAAGGTATATGAGGAGGTTGTTGCCAGAAGGTTTGTGCAGTACATGGAGGAGGCTGACCTTATCAACAGAAGGCAACAAGGTTTTAGACCAAATCGCTCTTGATTGTCTCGGTTACTGGAGCATCACCACCAAATCCTGGCCATGCTGGAGGAGGGGGCCGGGGTGAACGTGGTGTATTTGGACTTCGCGAAAGCATTTGACAAAGTTGACTATATAGTGCTCTTCAGAAAATTAAGACTACTGGGGGTCGGAGGTCAATTGCTGGCATGGATCCACAGCTTCCTAACAGAAAGACTACAAGCTGTAGTTGTTGGAGGCTGGAGATCGAGCGAGGCTAGGGTGAAGAGTGGAGTTTTGCAGGGAACGGTACTCGGTCCAATCCTCTTCCTCATCCACATCGTCGACATAGATGAAGCAGTAAACCACGCCACAGCATCGTCATTCGCGGATGACACCAGGATACTAATAACCATCACGGACACGACGGACTGTGAGAGGTTGCAAGATGACCTCCATGCAATATATGACTGGGCCCTTGTGAACAACATGCAGTTCAACGGGACCAAGTTTGAGGTGCTGAGGTACAGAGAAATCGGAATAGCTGGAATGGAGCACCGTTACCTGGCACCTGACAACTCGGAAATCGAAGAGAAGCGACTCGTTCGCGATCTAGGAGTGATGATGAACAATCAGGTCAATTTTGGTGATCACATAGCGGCAATAACCGCAAGAGGTAGGCGACAAATGGGGTGGATATTGCGGACGTTCAGAACGAAAGAAGCGGAACCGATGATCTCACTCTTCAGAGCCCTTGTAATACCTATTCTTAAATACTGCTGCCAGCTCTGGACTCCGTTCACACTAGGCGCAATACGGCAACTGGAAGGAGTTCAACGAACCTTCACTTCCAGGATCAGAGGGATGGATGAGTTTAACTACTGGGAGAGGTTACAGCGACTGGGTCTGTACTCACTGCAGAGGAGACGGGAGAAGTATATCATTCTATACACATGGAAATTGATAACCGGAATGTCACATAACTTCGAAAGCGAGACCTTTAACCAACCCAACCAAACGGCGAGGTTGTTTGGGCAGGGTGGCCCAGTGGTTGAAACCGCTATTATATTATATATTATTATATTTTAAGATTGAGACACGCCATGACGAAAGAAGGGGAAGACTGTGCAGGATTCCCCCTCTACGTAACAGATCGACGGTCAGATTTCGATCCCTGCGGGAAGGATCCCTTTCCGTGGCCGGGCCGAGGTTGTTTAACGTCCTACCAAGGGATCTAAAAGAAGGGGAGTTCACCCTGGAGACTTTCAAGAGACAACTGGACGTGTTCCTGGGCACAATACCAGATCGGCCTCCCATGCAACACTACCAGCGGCGAGAAGCAAGCAACAGCATCGTGCATCAGCTGGCCCAAATGAGGGCGGATGAGCGATAATCATTGAAGGCGATCCATCGAGGCCTGGGACTGCTACGTCCCGGACAAATACTAAGGAAACTATCCCTTTGGGGTAGCCTATATGTGTTGCCCTCTCTCCCGCAACAACAACATTACTAATTACTGACATTATACATACGTATACTGTATATCATTATTAAGTAGTACCTACATTTTTTGGAGATATAATATATCATAAAATAACGATACTTTTTTTGAGGACGATGTGATTGCAACAGCGTATGGTAAACCTTCAATATAAACCTCTACTTCGCTCACATTAATTCAAGTCTGCATCAGCAAAAAATCTCATTTCTCGGAACAGATTCATCATCTTCGGCAACGACGACACCATACTCCCTACTATTGAGGCATACGTGGCTCCTTGGCCAGATCAGATGCGAGAACGTCTCGCTCTGAGTTACCGGTCAGTCTTCTATCCGAACAGCTGGAATTTGATCGACTTCTACGAGAAGTGCGCGGCGGCGAGGTTGTTGCTGCATTGGGCTCTGCCTGAGTTCGACTCCGCTATTTACTTTGATACAGATCACGTATTCATGAGACCTCCTGAACACTTGATGGAGCATTTCAAAAACTTTGATGAATAGCGGTAGCGGTAGCGCCCGCTACATTTAGAGCATGTAGCGGTAGCGGTAGCGCCGCTACATTTCCAAGTAGCGCTGCCCAGCTCTGTGTATTAGCTATGAATGACTTGCAAGTATCGGGACTCTGATATCGTCAAGCTTGTAGAAGTTTGGCGAAACTGAACACTTGCAAATAATTACACAAAGTATTTTGTATATATATTTCTGTTGATATCGTGTCCAGAAATTGATATAAAGTATGTCACCGGAGATTAACGATCAAATTATGTTTGTTCGTCACAGGAAATATTCCTCGCATGGGAACAGCACGTCATCACCGACCCCGTAGCAACATTACTTCGTAATTTGACCAACACTTTAGTCACTCGCGAAGACGTGATCCGGCGAATCAGAGGCAGTAAAGAGGAACATCATTTCTGCAGTTACAGTGTCAATAAACTTTTATATCAACTTGTGGATTTTGTGAAAAAGTACGAAAATTAATCAACGTTCACTTGATGTTAAAGCAAGATGTAAGAGTCGGATTGTATAACATCATTGAAGAAATTTATTTGAATTCACGATGTGTTGGCCATAAATTCTTGTATTTTAAGCATGGAGTCGAGGTCGTCTGATTTCATTTTAAGTAATGGTAAAAGTTGCAAAAATGTGCCCCTGATCTATTCTCTAAAACATTATGAGAAAAAACAAACTCAATCGAACATCATTGCCCTGCATCTAAAATCTGAAGCCATTCCAATTTCTTCAAGTCGCCCACAAAGGCCGGCCTTTATCCACTGTATTCCGACATTACACAGAACTCTCTTTGTGAACGATTAAAAATTGTTCACGATGTTTTTATACGTTTTTATCATTGCTTATTTCAATTTCTTTATATGGGTGACATATTGTACATATTGGTGTTAATGAATTTCCAGTAAAGCCGGTCACATCACATAGACTTCCGACCTTCTCGGCTTCAGAGAGAAGTGACGAGGGCGGTTGAGTTTGTCGCTAAGGCAGTTGTGTCCTGCCAGCCGATCAGCAACCGTTATTTGCTTGGGCCAATATTGTGGCAGCTACTGACTAGTCGTTGGTTTCAGCTCGTGTTTCCGCAGTGTGCCCTCTTCCTTAATGGACTAAATGCACGAGCCACCTGTTTTGTCATTTTGTTCCAGACTATAACTGATAAGTTTCTGGTTTTAAAGTGCTCTTGCTCGTGTCAAATAAAAGTGTTTGAATCTCAGTGTTGACTGGAAAAACTGTGTTCTTGTTACACCAATAGTTTTAAGAGAACTGCTAGATATTGAGTTCGTGCCCGACGTCTGGCCCTTTTTTGCGGTGGCCATCTTTGACGTTGGGAACGTCCAGTCACAGAGTTGTATATGTAATTTCAAACTTACTGAGTTTTTATAGTAACAGACCAACTGGTTCTGTACGTGTAGTAAGCTGCCTGTCAGCCAGATCACCTTACGACGACGGACGTGTTTGCCGGTTTGGTGATCCTGGACTACCGGATCTTCAACGACTCGATCAGGCAGCTCGACATAAGATCCTACATCTGCCTGTCGTGTGCGCCTTGCAGCTGTGCTGCGCTGCCGAAATATATAATTGATACCCATATACTAGTTTCTATTTAAATATATTCATTTTTAGTTAGAGACTTGGTTTCCATTCATTTTGTATCGGATTTTGTGACATAGCGGAAGTAATATTTCAATTCAACGGTCGGCAAATGGTAAATCGAAGGTAAAATAGCCAAGACTCAAGAGGCATGAGAGAGAAGATGAGTAGTAAAATTATTCTCAAATCAAAGACTATTTTAGATGCATTCGTGGCACATGGAAAATCCATCACCTGCTGCAAAATATTGAAGCGAAGATGAATTAGTTTATTTCAAGGTAAGACAAGAGTGAGCATACTATTTTAAAATCTCAGTGAACAAACTGTTTCATGGGTTTCAAACCGATCATCAAACAGCCATGTAAAAGAGTTATTTATCATGCGTCTCACTGCTGTTCCCATCTTCCCAGACGTTCGAGGTATCTTATACAGGGTGCGGCGCGGGAACTTACTTATTTGAATCGCACGCCACGTAGCGGCCATTAGTCCTAGGAAGGTGGCGCCATGCGCAATATGGTGCGCGGGCTATGAAGTTTTTCGTCCACTCAGTTCAGTTGCGACCATGCAGTGGTCGAGAGAGGAGCGCGCGTTCGCAGTCTCTGTGTACTTTTCTAGTGGCCGGTCTATCGTTGCAACCATACTGTAAAATTGTCTGATATCAAACAGGCGTTGATACGGCGCCAAAATTAGTATTCCTGCATGGGCTAGATCTCCAAAGAAAACAATTAATGTATACTAGCTACCCAAAAAAACTTCAGACAGTAAGTCACTAAAAAAGGAAACTTATCACATGTTAAGTTTAATAATAATATAAGAACTAACATCAAATTAATAATAACTAACATCAAAGTAATGCTGGGTAGGTATAAAATCATGGAATTTTGTTAAAAAAAATTTGGAATAATCTTTTTTTAAATCGTCCAGTAACTTGTTAAAATATTTTCACAATTAAAAACCTGTACGTGTTTTTCTATTTCCAAGCGAACTGGTGGTAAATTTCAGTGCCGCCTCAGGTATTATGGTTATGGCTAGGAACGAGAGGAACGAAAACAGATTCAGACAGACGTTAGTCATGAAAAAGTGCCCTATTCATGAACTTTAAAAGCTGAAACTTGTACATGTCATCCTGTTTTAATATTTTCGACTGCCTATATAATTCGTTGGTACGAGTAACCGGGATATTGTTGTACGAGAAACCGACTGCGCCAGGCGCTAAAAAATTACGACGGATAAATTCTTAAGAAATGTTATGAGGAAGCAAGTGTATATGCCTGTTTTTCCGCCAAAATCAAAGTCTGGTTTAAATTTACATGATAGATTCGTTTGGTAGAAGTCAATTGGTTTAAATTAATTATTTAATGAGAAATGCGGAGGAGCTAACTTGCTCCCCTAAGTTACAGTTTACATGCAGCAAATCTTCAATCTTGTCGAATACAAGAAAATAATTTTTTTATAAAATAGCATCCAAACAATTTTTGGTTCAAATTCATATCAGAATGTACGACGGACGCGAATCTCAATTTTAGAAATATATTTTACTATGATCATTTACAATGTTAGCTCCAACTCGTTTCCTATTAGTAGCCATACGGAAAAACCTGATAGAAATTCTCAGGAAGATCGCATGTGCCAGGTTATGGTCATGTAAAATGGTCGCTATAAATCGAGTTACTCATGAAAACTCGCATACGTGGTCAACCTCCAGTCAGATATTGTTACCATTTACTAAGTGACTCTGAAAAACTGATTTTTTGTACGTCCGCACTAAAACACTGAAAATGTTTACCATGATGAGAATTCATCATTAATGATTTGAAACTGATGAACTGAAATGTAGCAAATCTAATAACTCTCGTTGAATTTTACACTATTAACAGAACATTAAATTTATTTGGTGCTACTTACTGATTTGCTGTTGTCAAGAAAATTGATAGAATTTTGTTATTACAAGTAGAGCTTTGCTTATAAACATCAAAGCTCACTGCCTAAGTGCTGACAACAGGTCAGGATAGTCGAACATTCAGTCATTCCCTTTCGTGTTCCGAAATGAACAATAATAATATACGTTTAAAAATTACTTTTTAATGACAACACAACTAAGGAGGCCAGTGTCTCCGATGTTACTAATGTATACTGTATTTATTTTTTATTTTATATAAAAATATTTTAAAATTTTTTCATATAGATAATTTTTTCCAATTTTAAAATTATTTATTCTGTCAATTGATTCAAGCACTGTCTCCGAATTTACGCAAGTGTGTAAAATTTTAGATCGATTAGACAATTAGAAGTGTGTTCAATATTGATTATAAGATTGGTTGCAGACAAACAACAAGAAGTGAAGTTAAAGAGAAGTGTTGTAAAACGAGCAACATTCGAAGTCGTCTTGGGTTATTTGATGCGGCTGGAAGAATTTTTCCGGTATTGTCGCTGTCATTTACATGAGACTGATAAATAATCGACAACCTGAGTCAAATTATACAATTACTTCCGTATCACCGGTAATTTTTTCTGAATTTGAATCCATTATTTCAATTCTTGTATTAAATTCTTGTAGCTTCACCGACTGTTTTCTTTTGTGTTATTTGTGTGTGTTGTGTGTGTGTGTACAGGGCCCTACCTTTGCATCTTTTTTAACAATGTACAAAATATATACTGGGTAAAAATACAATCAAATTAACAAATGAACTCGAATATTATGTACGACACCTCAATCGTTTGAATACTTTATAGATCTATTTTATGCGTAGATAAAATCTTACTGCCAGCAACACTGGTGACAAGATGTAATTGAACAAACCATACCATGACATTTACGGCAAAATTTTCGGGATGATTTGAAGAATTATTCCGTCATGGCTGACGCCAACGACACATAAAATCATTCAGGAAACTTCAATAAGAAAACTGTTTTCCTTAGAGATGCAGCGAAAAAATATTCTCGTCACTTCATGAAAAAGAACTTGTTTGAACCCTCCCACTAGCATGAAGACTTTTTATATAGATTTTATTGAGCAGGAGCATTACAATGTAATGAACGTATTTTATAATAATAATAATAATAATAGCGGTTTCAGCGTTTATTAGGCCGCAGGCCTGTCGCCGATTCTTAACATCGCAGAACATTCACAGCATTTTGAGGTCTCGAACTCGCAACGCACTGCTACAATAACACTTAAGAAGTTACGGGTTAATTTATTTAAAATAAAAATACGAACAGAAATTCATAGAGCAAAAATAAAATTGTGGACGGGATTGTGATTTTGAACTTTGTTGATCACCATATCTGAGTGGCCAAATATATCTTTTAGGTGATCTAAACGAACTTCAG